CGGGCCCCGGCAGCGGCTCGGATGCTAATACTGCTTACCGTCTGACTGGCCAGATCTTTCTCTTCACTATCTGAAGAGCTGGGATATTTTTTTTTTACCTCCTCCAGGGTGCATGATGGTCTAGTGTTGTGCTTAAATCGTACTAACAAATTTTGAGTAATAACTTTAAATCATAACATGTATAATATGTTATGTAAAGTGTAACATCAAAGGGACTTTTTAAATTTACATTGGGACTTCTATAATATATGACCAGCTCTTAACTGCTATTTGGCAACACTGAAGTAATTAGATGCATCTTTGTTTCAGATATCAAGGCCTCTCTTATTGGCAGTACCTGTAGCTGCAGACAAGAAATCACAGAGAATCGATTGATGTTTAATTCATGCTTTCTGCTGAAGTTCGTATTAGAAAGCCTGCCCACATATAGCCTGTATCACAATGATTTTGTTTGTCTCAATTGTACCTTGCTGCTGAATTTTAAACTACTTGACTATATATTACCACGTCAGCTTTTGTTTGTCTATGTCTGTCAGTCTGACTGTCTGTCAATGTTTCTGCCTGTCTGTATACCTGTCTGTTACTGTGTCTATCTGTCTGCTTTCAGTGTCTGTTTCTGTCTGTCTGTCTCTCTATTCATTTGGCTGTTCATCTGTCTGTCTGTTCTCGGTGTCTATGCCTACCTGTCTCTCTGTCTGTCTGTTTCTGTCTGTCTGTCGGTCTATCCAGCTGCCTGTCTGTCTGTCTTGGTCTGTCTGTCTGTATATTCCCACCCCACTCACTATATCAGTCCTTGTCTCTCTCTCTTTCTCGCATTCCAGTATCAATCCCTATCTGCCTGTTTTTTCCCATTCAATTAAAAATTTCCCATTGCTATTAAAAATGCATATTTAAGTTACATATATAACACAACATACTTTAAGGAATTAGTTAAACAGAACTTTCTTTCATGTCACCCATCTGAGCATCGGTGGTGTTTACTAATACCCAGACCACTCATTCCCCAGGGCCCTCAATCTTTGTGCCCCCTGTTGGCCACAAAGAGTTACTACAATAAACATTAAATAAATGTGTTCCTTATTTAGAAGATGCTGAAGCAGCATGTTCTGCTAAACAGCTAGCTAGCTATGATCTTCTGACTCTACTCACTGGCTATTTATTTAGTTTTTGAAACATCTGGGGGGGGCAGAAAAGACACACGCCCCTCCACGCCACTCCCACTGAGGTCCATCCAATCCCAGCTACGAACCAGATCACAAAGGTTACAGTCCAACATGCAGGATGTCAGCCGTCGTGATTGTGGGAACAGCATATCCATTCCAGCTTGTTTTCTTATGATAAATGTTTCATGAAGGTGGACTGTGTGCAACAATGAGGAGATTAATACTGTGTTCAAGGCCCCCGAAATAATGATGGGGAACGCAATGGATGGGGGCTGCCTGATTTTGGTTACTTTTAGTTTACATTTAGTTTACAGTTATTTATAGAAGGTGACATACAATTGAGAAAGCAGGGTCTATCATTGGAGCAACTGGGCTTAAGGATGACCTTTCAATCACAGGCACAGCATCCTATCCCATTGTGCCACACACTGCCCCCTAGTGGTGTACTGCTATGGCAGCTATCTCCTGTAGCCATACGTGGAGCACCAGCTGAAATCTGTGTGCTCTGTTGAAACCATCTCAAGCAGAATAGTTTACGGTGAGCCGCTAATAGCCAGATAATTCATAGCTTCATTTCGGTGGAGCAGTTTCCAGTTAAAATGAATCTGCATGATTGCTGTGCTTTTATTTGAATTAATTACGTTGATTAGCCTCACTTTCCTGTTCTTAGCTGACAGGAGGAACAGCCAGTGTGGTCTTCTGCTGCTATTGCCCATCTGCTTCACGGTTCGTGTTGTGCATTCAGCGATGCTCCTCTGCATACCCTGAGTCACGAGTAGCCATTTGAGTCACTGTTGCCTTTCTATCAGTTTGAACCAGACTTGTCACCCTCCTCTGATCTCTGCCATCAACAAGGCACTTTCACCCAGAGAACCGCCACTCACTGGCTGTTTTCTTTTTTTCTTCTTCAGCCCATTCTCTGTAAACCCTAGAGATGGTTGTGCATGAAAATCCCAGTAGATCAGCAGTTTCTGAAATACTCATATCAGCCCACCTGGCACCAACAACCAAAGTCACATAAATCACCTTTATTCCACATCCTGGTGTTCAATGTGAACATTAACTGAAGCTCCTGACTTGTATCTGCATGATTTTATACATTGTGCTGCTGATATATGATTGGTTGATTAGATGTTTCCTTCAACAATCAGCAGAACTAGTGTACCTAATAAAGTGGCCAATGAGAGTGCAGTATTAGTAATAAGCCTTCTTTCCTTAAAGGCTACCAGTACTCAGTCCATCCACGTTCCAGTATTATTTATCCAGTTCAGGATAATACTCGGTGCATACTCAGGTAAATTCAATCATTCCTACACAGTTCTCTTCCAATTATAGATTTTTCAGATACAAGTTGAAACAAACATTAAATGTCAGAGCAGAAAATATGTACGAGGAATCACCGTATCCCTGTTTGCCTGCATTGCATGGTTAGACAATACATTAATTAGCCTGAAGCCTAGTTCCTGCTTGTAACAGATGGTGTGAGTCTGTAAAATAGGATGGGGCCGAAGGAACGGGAACTGTGACCCAGAGACACAGCGGGGGCTGCGTGTTTCCACCCGGTGACAGGGCCGGCTAATTAAGACATACGCTCACACCCCAAAGTATGCAGAATTGAATTAGCGATGAGCATGAGCATGTGCAGTGAGTGAGTGAGTGCTCTTAATCATTTTAATTTCATGGCAGTGTGTGGCTCAGCAAGTTAGGATGCTCTGTGTGTGTGTGTGTGTGTGTGTGTGTAAGAGAGAGAGAGAGAGAGAGAAAGTGATCAGAAGGTTGTTGGTTTAGATCCCATTGTCTGCAAAGTTATTTCACTTTCGGGCCCTTTAGCGAAATGCTTAATCCCCGATTGTTCCATGGATTGGCTGCCCCTGCTTTCACAATTACATCCCAACTGCAATGTTTAGCAGATGCATTTGTCCAAAGCAACATACAGGTGAGACAAATACCTCATTGCAAACATACATGCTGTCAAGGAGATGACTAGGCGTACGTACAGCTTGGCTGAGCTTCCAGTGAATTCCCGGGTACAGGTGTAAGCAGGACTAGAGCAGGAGTTATACAACAACTATTCAAAGACTTTTAACAAAGCAAGAACCTAATAAGTCTATTCAAGGACCATATGCCACATAAGAACATTCAGGGAGTATATATAGGATAAAAGCAACTGCTCTATAAATGAAATGTAAATCTTTTAACTCTTCCTGTGATGTTTTGCTTATATGGCTCTTGTCCAGTCTTCTCAAAGACTCAGAATTTACTGGAACATTAATGCACGAGCCAAGAAAAGAAGCTAGTGGACAAAAAACGAGAACTAATGAGCCCAGCAAGGGCCCTGGGAAATAACACCCATTCTTTGCATCTGTTCTGTTAAGAGCTAAAGTCTTGGCTCCACAGTACACATCCCCACAGCTGTATGTGTGTAGCAGGCCTGGCTAGTCAGGAGGACAAGAAAGGCCAAGGTCAGAGGTCATTTTAGAACACCTGTGCAGCCATTTCATTGGTTCCTGCCTATAGGCAGGTGCCTGTTCATATTTCTTCATTGGTACAGTGTTGTGGCAGGACTGTACAGATACCTGAAACACTGTACCTATAAAGAGGGCTTATAAAACTGTTTATGATTACAAACAGTTTTATGGTTATAAAAGGAAGTCTGAGGTAATAAAAGAAGATTAATTGCATGTGTATGAAAGGGTAAAAAAAATCGATCATTTCCACCTATTAAATAAATACAAATATTAAACATTCCTGTAGAAATTCTCATCATTTTTATACCGAAGTCAGATAAAACAACCACAGCTAACAGTTTGATGTTCTCAAAACCTGGCACAAACTAAATAACATGATAATAATCTGGCCAGACAGACACAACAGTGGAGCCAGAAATCATGGCACCGTGCAGGCAGAAAATCAGGTGGGACAGTCCCATAGCAATTCACTTGGCGACAAATTCTCACTACAGACTCAATTGCATCATTTTATCAGTTTTTAAATGACCCGTGACATTACTGAAACCAGGGTAGGTCTGATCTCGATCTTAGTGGGTCGCGGTAGGATAGACATCTAAGCTGAGGACTGATCCATAAAAATAACCAGAAACCAAAATGATCATGCAAAGGCCAGAGCTTCAAATAACTAGCACTGATGGAAGACAGTATAGCATCATGCTCAGTAAATGGATAAAGTGTAAAACTGAATTCACCATAGGTCATATAATATAATGCAATACACTTTGCGAAGCTGACATTTAATTCAGTGTTGTGTGACTCCAATTTAGATCATTGCTCTTAGATGACAGAAAATAGAACCTATTCGTAAGAGCTGATGGGATTTTAGGTGAACAAGGAACAGTTAAACCGCAGAATTTACTCTATGAGTAAAGTAAAAAATTAGACATAATTAATCAATTAATTAATTAATTAAGTCAAAAGTGGGAATATAATGAGGACCCGTGTTTTACTATTGTTTAAAAATTATATTCTTTGCTATGGACTGTTTTGAACAAAAAAAGGAGTATCACAAATCGTTTTCAGTCTATTTCAGTCAATTTTCCTAGCGCGAAGACAAAATTATATGTGTGACTATACCGCCACCTAGTGTTAAACCGTGGTATCAAGAGATCTCCGTAGTGAAGAGTTATTGTTATCGTAATAGTAGTAAGATAGTAGTAAGAGAGTAATAACGTAATGTGCTGTACTAAATTAATCTGAGACTAGTGTTTGTATGTCACAAAAAACATGGTATTAATTTTAACATTAATATTAGTAATACTATGCTGTTTTTTTCGGAACTTATGAACACCAAACCTTTGGAGAGAGACGGACCTAAAAAGTTGACGCACAGCGCATGGTGTCTCATGTCATACTGATCGGCTTATTCGGTGTCTGAGTTTGCCTACATCAGGTGTAGGTTGCGTGTTCGCTCCTTAGTCTTTGTGAACATGTTCAGCAGTGCCGTGAGAACAGTCTTTTTAACTCGCGGCCACCCCAGGTCCGGTAGATGCTGGGCTCGGTTAAGTCGCGTTACTCCACTGCTGGCTTCTGCCAGGTCTGTGCAGGACAGCGCAGAGGACAACGGTGGCCCCAAGGAGCGCTTTGACACCTCCTTACTGGAATTCCTCGTTTGCCCGCTGTCTAAAAAAGCGCTACGGTTAGCTACAGTCATGTTATTTTATTTACATTTATACCCGATGTCACCCGTGATTATTTGCGCACTTTTATCCACATTGCATCGCCTCTTTATGGGTTATTTTTTGTGCACTTGTTCTTATGTTACACTATCTTGTCCTGTATTTCGCTGCCAGTATTGCACTACCGTTACTCCTATTATAGGACCGTAGCCAGAAATAAATTTCGTGGGGGGTCCGGCAATTATGGAGGCGGTGCCTGACGGATAACAAAAAGGTTTCGGGGCGGAAGGAGGTGTTTAAACGCGTTACTTTATTACGTGGCTACGTGCCTGTCGTATTGCCTATAAACCTTCCCCTTCCCTGTAACTGGCATAAGAATTTAAGTGTTCTTCTGAACACGTGACAGAATTAAAAATTGTCTCTACTCTGCACATCAGGGCCGCAGTGTGATGTAGGATGATTTTGAGAGCTATTGATAGGTCACCTGCATGCAGTGCTGATTGTTCAGCTGAAGGTGTATAGTATTCTGTATGGGTGTCCTACGGCTTACACCATCTCTTTGCTCAGTTCTTAAATTGCACTGTCTTGTCTTTTATTCCACTAATGTTTGTCCTGTTGTCCCCCCTCCATGCACTTGTCCCCTCCCCCTGAAATACAGCATGAGAATTTAACCATGTTTCATGAAACACCCTTTGCAGTAAAACCTGTTCATCCTTTAAGTTCCATATGTCATCACTTGGAACATTTTAAAGGCATTGTTATATTACTGCTTGTAGACAAAATCAGATGTTGTAGCCCAAAGGGGCTCAGAACTGTTGTTAATGCTATCAGGATCACATATAATATCTTGTAATAGTGCTTTAGAAAATCCCTAGTGATGCTTTTGTCCCATCCCATCTCCAGGTATGATGAAAAGACCAACGAACTGATCAACGACGACCTGGGCATCGCCTACCCCATCATCGATGGGATTCCCAACATGATTCCTCAGGATGCTAGAATGATCCAAAGGAGTTCTGACCTGGGGGAGTCACCCCAGCCATAAAACAGTGACATGTTCTTCCCCAAGATGTATTATGCGGGCTCTGTCTGATTTGGGTTTTGGTTTGATACTGTGGATGACTTTATCCAAAGGGAAACACTTACGCCAATAAATGTCAGCCAGACCCATTTCTACAGACAGATACATTTACTCAGATAATTCAGGTAAATCGCTAGAACTAAGGTACAACAGCAGTGTCCTTCTGAGAAAACATGAAGCAGCAGGCAGTCAGCTGCAGACTAGCATCACATTCAGGTGTCCATGTTTCTGCTGTCAGCCATCATCCTTATCTCTGTTTTCTACTTTAAAACTGCACTGCGTCAAAGGAAAATTCTCGCTGATATGGAAATGTGTTTCCTTTCCAGTGAAATATGCAGTGACTTCCCTTGTGATCTTACAGTTAAGATTAAATATGTCTGTATGACACAGACCATTTTGTGGAAATATTTAAACCTGTTGTGTAAAACCAACTACTTGTACATTGAAGTTTCTGATATTACTGCCAGTTTTTAGAACCTCTGGGTTTATTTTTCACTTAAGTCAACAAATCAAGAAACATCATTAATATTTGAGATTAACACGGACATTCATTTCAAAATCTAAAACCTTGTAGAAGAAAGTATGAGTTTGAAACACCTTTTGTTCTGGACCGACAAAATTAACTTTTACACTTTCGCAAAAATGTTAAAACTGACAACAACTGGAGACAACAATGAGAATGCATCTTAAAATTCAAATTAATTTTTACAAACATTTTTTTTGGCCACCTGATGTATTTCTATAGCCTAGATCAAATGTAACTTTAACAAAGTGAGCATATTCAACACCATATTTTACATCGGAGTGAAATCCATGCGTGTGTCATGGAAGATGCCAGGTGACACTGCGTGTTCGTTGGTGGTCTGTAATTTTGATTTAGTCACACCGGCATCATGAAGTCTCATCAGAGGAGACTGTGGTTTAGGCGAGTCACCATCTCCTTTCACCTTGAAGAAGAAGGATTCGTTCAGCTTTGTCTGAACCGCTTTCAGCTCATACTTACCCATGTTACCTTTATTCTTTTCCGGCACATTTTTCTCCTTATTCCTATTTATAACACATCCATTCCTGTGAGCTGACATGCAACAGTCCGATTTCTCACCTTTTGCTTTAGAGGGCATCTCCAGTCCTGATTTTCTGGGCAAACTTAGATCAATCGGCTGCTCCAAGCACTTGGGCTCTTGGTGCTTTCGCTGGAACGCCCATGAGACTGACATTGCCTCGGAGCTGAAGAAATTTTCAGTTTGCGTGGCTTTCTCCACAACGGCCTGGGCCGGCACAACTGCCCGCACCTGTGGGCGCCAGGCTGGGATGATGCCGGCTGGTATGGCACTCATGCTCTCTTCACTTGAACTGTCCTGGGCCACAATGAAGGTCTTTTGAGTGATAAAAAGGTCTTGGCTGCTGTTTCCATTAGTCTCTTGCGTGTCCTCCTGGTCATTTTCAATTTTTGGCACGCAAATCGCTTCTCTCTCCCCACAGCACACCTTGTGTGAGACAACACTTGAGGAACATCTGTCTTTGCAGGTGGAGGCCCAGGCTATAGCTCTTGCCATTTCTCTGTGTTCCCCTCCTACACTGGTCCTCTTTACACGAGCGCATTCTGCATTGCGGGAATGCGTCCAAAGGTCCAAATCTGTTTTATGCCCAGGTGTCTCCTGTGTCTTCTTTTGAATGCGACTTTGCTTGGCCTGCTGCTGTGAAAAATATGGCCCTGCAGATACAGAGGGAAAGTTCTGGAATTCCCTACAGCCAGCATATTTGATATCTTCACATGTGCCCAGCTGTGTTGTAACAGGTGCGAGTTTGCTTTCATTCAAACAACCTAGGAGCTCACCTTTGTATTTACCTTGCTGTGGCGGAGAAAGAAAGCCCTCCACTGGATTTAATTTCACCTTCTTGCGTTTTTTATGTTTGTTTTTTTTAGCTTTCTTGGTATTTTTTTGAGTCATGCTTGCAAAACAGTCTTCGGCCTTGTCTGCCCAGGACAGCTGCTTCCCCGCCTTCCTCAGCTTGTCTTTTTTGCATTTTTCACTATTCTTTGACTTTTTCTTCTTTCTTGCCAAATCCTCAAAGAATACAGGGGCTAGTTGGGAATCCGCCATCGCTTCCCTTCAGGGATCTAGCCAGCATCCTTCATAAAAACAAAAATATTTTATGTAAGAAAAACTGCTGACAGATAGTGACTCATAAATTGTTCCTTAAAGCAGTGGTTTTATGAGAAAATATACAAAAGAACTACAGACATGTATGAAGTAATATGAGAAAATGGTTACAATATTTTTAATTATACATGCCTTACCAGTTTACACCGAGTTCAGCTCCTCAGCTGATGACTTTGTAATGGCTACAGATACAAACCAATATATGGATGTAAATACAAAAAAACGAGAAATTCTTAAAACTACACAGTAAACTTTTTTGATGTTCACGGCAATGCACAAAAAATATATTTAAAAGAAAAGGAAAATCAATCAACTAATGACTGTAAAATATTACGTACAATTTTGTATTACGTCAGAATTTCTGCTCTTCGTATCGTTCGTCAAAGTATAAGTTGTGAATTCAGGAAAATGGCGTGTATAGGCCTACTGTTATTTCAATGTATAATAAAACACATTTTATGCCCATTAAAATTACACTTCACGAAAAAAACATTCGTATATATAATATGAAGACTTAGGCCTACGTATGCTTCCTCAATATCGACGGCAGTCATCATATGGTCAGTAACAAAGCAAATCAATTTAGCAGATGTAGAAGTACCCAGGGTAAACTGAGAAAACGAAGAGTCGGACAAGATATCCCACAGCCTCTGGCTTATTAAATTCTTGACATAAATTTAACTGATTATTGAACTGCACGCTGCTCACAGTCGTTTTCCTAATTACGAGGAACAGAACTGCAAACCAGCTGTACAATAGCTATTTTTTTAAAAACTGCATTCTGTTCATTTCTTGTAAGAAAGGCATAATGTGGTTGCTTAAGTTAAACACTGTGTAAACTGATTTTGGTTACTGAACTGAATCGCAACATTATTATACTATAATATCTATGAATCATAAGATGTCACACCTGGTTACTTCTTAACTATGCAGTAATGCCGCAGGTTATATTAGTTACCCGCCTTCTCGCACGCGCCGTCCGTTATCTGCCACGCTGTGACACACAAGTGGCACTTGGCCTGAACGTGCTTCTCAATAGTCCCGCGGCGCGTGCGCTTCATGAACGCCGGAAATGAGTTAAACCTTCTGGAAGATTCGCTATGTTCTCAAAATGAATATCATTTTTACATTTTGTTTTGTTTCATGTTTTAGATGTACTTTCGAAGACAAAAGAATGAGAGATTTTAGTTTAAGTAAGCCAACTGTTGGGTGACAGCAAACTGAATTTTGAATGTTTGCTGAAATAAGCCAATATGTTTAATATTCGATGTATTATCAGTCGCGTATTGCAAAATAAAACCCTTTTTACATTAAAGAATCTGCTTAAATCAGCTATTTCAGTGTGAGGAGAAGTCTGTTGGAGTTTCTGAAGGGATGGCCGTAATGTTAGTTTGTTGAATTAGTCTCCTGCTGAAAATCAAATTAACGTCTCGATCTTTTCGTACAGTAAGAAAGATAAAATTATTTAGCATGGTTTTCACGCTAAAGCATTTTATTGCTTTATCTTTCTTTCGTCTTGCTTTTCCGAAAGCGCATAGGGGTGTTTTGTTTTGTCACAATTTTGACAAGATTTAATGTTCACACAAAATAAATGAGCCGTTAAGGGGGATTTGATCGATGCACCTCCACCCCCCCCCCCCCCCCCCCCCCAAAAAAAAAAAAAAAAACCACCACCAATCATAATACTTGTTCTTTAATTAAATGCAGGAATGGGAAGTCTACCAGTCTTCAATAGTGTCATTTCTTTTCTTTCTGTGATCTACAGCTTGTATTGCTTATTTCCTTTTTGCCATCAGTAAAAAGACTGGCTTTGTTAAGAGGTATCAGGATCATGACATACAGCTTCAAACATTTAATAAAAAATAAAACCAAGGAATTATGAGAAAATAAAAAAATCACATTTGTCAATTACATTTACAGCATTTGGCAGACGCTCCTTTCCAGAGCGACTTAGAACAAGTCCTCAAGTACATGTCCTGTAACTGGACAGCTATATCATAAAAGCATTGATAGTTTGCAAATCATCTCATTTTAATTTCTGTAGCCTTTTTCCACGAAGCAGGCATTTTGTTGTATAAGCCTACCCTGACTGGGCAAGAAGAAAGAACTAATTACTCTGGGTAATCCTGTATGGTGGCTTTTCGTTGACTGTAATAAATTCTGTGTGACTTATCAGCTTCAGTGGGTCAGTGGGGTCAGGATTCGCACATATTCTTTGTCAAGTCCATATAAGGAAGCAATTCAGTTGGGTAAATAGAGTAGCAGCAATACAATGTGACTTTCTGTCACCTGCGTGTCATGGATGGACATGACAAGGGCATGTAGTGAATGTAAGGTATTGATATTTGAAATGCATACCCCTGATGACATGTTTATTGGATATGTGTGTGTGTGTATATATATATATACACACACACATATACATATGCATTAGGTAAACAGCATTCATAAATTTGATCTTGTATTAGCAGGAAAATCGTGATATTATGGAAGGTTATTTGGCACTATATAATGTAGAACATAGTCTTTATGATATTATCAAAAAGCATGCCAAATACTCAATGTAATCATTACAATGTAATCAATTGGGTATGTATCTGTCCCTTATGTTAGCCTCAAAGTTTCTGTTAGCTATTTTACGTTGGCCCTGGTTGTATGAATATCCACCTTTATTAGTGTTGCAGCTTAACACTATGTTGAAGGACAAATATATTATGAACCCTCTAGTCAGACAATGTGCAACAAGCTGAAGCTGCCAAGGTTTGCTGCTGAAGGGAAGGGATTCGCCTGAGTTCACTAAAAGTTCACGGCTGAGTAGAGATGGTCGCGCCACAGTTATGTTCAGTCGAGGGACCAAACAGTAAAAGAAATGATTGACAAACTTATGACCTAGGGGTGTGGATCAAGGGAGAAAACAACGATGGTGAATAAATATTGGTGTAAAACAGTAGTGGGCACACTTGCAAGTGTCCAGCTTTGGTTGTAACCTCATTGTTGCAATGAAGACTGAATCTGGATCTACACAAGCAGCTTCTGACTTCTGATTTGGCAAGGAAGGAAAAACCACAACAATAGCGGTTTCACTACTTTGTCTGTTTTACATAATGTGGACATTTGTAGTCTATAAATAGAAACAAGATTTTTATCCATTCTGCTATAGTACTTGAATATTATCTCTAAAATCTGAATTTAAAGTATTTTGGCATAATATTGTGCTGGATAAATGAAAAACAGTAAAATAATAAGATGGCACATTGCAGTATAATTGTGTAGTAGAAATGTCTACTTAAAGTATCCTAGCAAAAGGTTAAACTCATTATTGAAGCACTTTGTAGCTGCAAATGTGGTCAATCATCCTACTTATTAACATTCTTACTGCAGCACCAATTACTGCAGGAACTTTTTGAGCTAGAGCGTGAAAATCTTCTTCATAAAATGTTCTTTGGCCTTTACGCTGTATAGTGATATTACAAACATTATTAATACACAATTATTCACGGAAAAAGGACATGTTTGGCATTATACGTTTTTCAGGTGAATTTGTATGATTGTGTGTATGGGTCTGGATGAACCAGAGGATTTTACGGGAATGTTCAACATGCCCAGCAGATCTGGTTGACCCTGTGGGAGCTAAATACTGAACAAAGTGTCAGTTATTAAAATCATTTTAGAAGAAAACAGCTTCGATTGAAATCTGCTTGTATGCAAACCAGCTGCTGTCTTTCCAAGCTATCAGAGAAGCTGAGGCCTTTCATAGGTTGATCGTGCTGGTCTGCTGGCTTGTTACTGCGCACACTAAGCTATCACATCATAGGGATCTATTGTATGTGGGGGTTTTAAAGGAGTCATTCCAGGCTTTTGAGCTGCGTATTTAACCACAGAAGAACATTATATTGAGCTCTCATATGGAAGGGATGGGAGCTGCTGGATTGAATGAGACGTTTAGTTGCTCAAGCTTTCCATTCAAATCTTCCGAATTATTTCCAATAAGAGCGTGTCTAACATTTATAGACTAAGAGGGATCTACTGAGCTGGTAGTGTTCTGATGGAGGTGCCTGGGAGGACGCAGCAGGTCCACTAAGGCCTTTAGGAGCTCCTATGGCATGTGAAGGTGAAGGTGTCAAGGCCATTTCCAGACCTGGATCTGGGCTCAACACAGCAGTCAAGTCACAGATGACTCTATCTATCTATCTTTCCATGCCTGTCCGTCCATCCGCCCTCCTGTCTCTCTCTCTCTCTCTCTCTCTCTCTCTCTGTTGATGAGTCATTGTCAAACACAGAGTATGGCTCTATGATATTTGGTTTTATTATAGACAGCAACACATTGCAAAATCGCTGCAACTAATTCTCTCCGTCTGTATTTCTTAGCATTGCTATCAGTGTCAGTCAAGATGTACTGATATCAGTACATTTCGACATCTGATACAGTAGATAAATACCCAAGAAAGATACAGTTGCAAACTAACTATATAGAGTGAATGTTTCACCAATTTTCTATTTCATATTTATTCCATAAATATGTACCTCTGAAATTCCTAGTCATCTGTCTACATTAATGTTTTGTGATGTCATTGTTTCGTTTTGTGCTGTTTAATCCTGGTATATGTTACATGTCATTGACTGGGTGGCACAAGAAAGTATTCCTAATAATATAGAAATGGCAACTAATCTTGATACTCTTGAGGACTGCAGATTATGGGTATGAAGTGAGGTTATCTAAGGCGCTCCACTCTGTCTGTCCATATGAAGTCCGTGATCCGGCTTATTCCACAGTATACCCCTGAAGGCTCTTTCATACTCCAAGCAGCCTATGGAATTTGCCCTCTGTGGGGGTAACATGCATGTAGGCCATTGCATGCCATAGCCAAATTGTTCTGAGCTACACCAAGTCACATTGGGTGCGAGGCAGTGATACATGTGTAGCGGATTTCATTGTGCATAGGTGAGCTGAGCACTCGGGCATTTAATGTAGCAGACATCCTTTCTCCTGGGTGAAGATGTTGAAGTGTGTTTTGAATCTGTTAAAGCTGCACCTGTTACATGTGATTAAAATGAAACGGAGCTTTATTTGCCATTTGTTCAAGCACAGGTACATTGGAATGCTGCTTTTCACATATCCCATCATGCATTCCTTTGAGATACAAACACACACACAGGTGAGACGAAGGCTTGGGGTTCATGTCCAGACATCACCCATTTATCTAGTGCCCCTAGAGCAGGGGTAGGTAATCTTATCCAGAAAGGGCCGCTGTGTGCGAGTTTTCGCAGCAACTCCCTAATTACGTTACGAATTTAGGACTGATCGGCTGAAGAGTCCTCACACCTGGGTTTGAACAGCTGACCTAAAGGTTATCCCAAAAACCTGCATACACACCGGCCCTTTCTGGATAGGTTTGCCCACATTTTGGGGCCTTGCACAAGGGCCTGACATCAACATGACTACCCTGCCAAGCATGGGATTCAAAAAGGTGATCCTCTAATCACAGGCAAAATTCTCCTGTCAGAAGAGGGACTCAAACCCACACCCCATGGAAAGACCATAACCTGAACAGAGTACCTAGACTGCTCGTACATCCTGACTTCTCCAAGATAGCATCTAGCCATTGCTGCCAATCTCTTAACCTATACAATTATAAGATAAACACACAGTGAAAATGCTTTTTTTGCCTAAAAAAACATTCCTCATTTGCTGAACTGTTATTGTTATTGAGGTGTGAGGTGACATCAGTTACTAGATTGCTAATGTTAATTCTTTTCAGATTCTACAGGGAACTATTGCAATAGCATGCCATCGCTGAGATGGCTGGCATTCTGTCAGCATGAGGTAATGAGAACCACAGTTTTGGGGTTAGGACTTGCCCCCTCCCCCTCCCCCTTCATTCCCAGGTTACTATATACTGCTTGGCATCAAACGCATGGTGTTTAGGGTGACATGCAAGGGGCAAAGGGTCAAGTTTGTTTGATGGCTGTCATCTAAACAAGTTGTGTAGTCCCTGCCTTCTGAAAGTTGGGTCACTTAAGAGGAATCCTAAACGGGAATACGAGCTATTTCTGGGTGCTTTCTTTGTGCCAGGAATGTGGTGTAGTTTCCTGTAAATTTAATTGTGTAATGTATCAATAAATACATGATATCAGCCCTGCATCATCCTTTCAAGGTGAAATTAGTAAAAACGTGTGTCCATAAAATAGGCTTCATGTCTGTGGTCAAATATAATGGAAAATATTTTCCAAAATTGTGTATATTTGACTAAGTTCGGATATGTATGTTGTATGTCTAGAAACTAGATGAAGATTTTACAGTGCGGTTGCTCTCAGAATCTGAGGTCGAAGTCCCTTACTTCGTTGTCCCACTGCAGGCTGGAACTGTCCCCTGATGTGAGATTGACTGCTTTCAGTGTTATGTCATACTTTTTTTTTCCTCATGCCAGCAGTACAGGCCATGTCTGCTGTCCTGGAAGAAACCCAAACCGCACCGTGAGGGAAGATCTATGGTCAGGAGAAGCCTGGTTTTCCTGTGCTTGTGTCATGACATGGTCATTCCTGTTCCACATTTAGAAATCCCCCCTCATATTTAGCCAATGTGTCATCACAGGCCTGTAAAAAGGTCTCTGCCAGCATTTCTTGTGGGTAGACTAAGGTGCAGGTGTGTCCCACTCAAGGGCCAGTGATTCCTCCCCCAGTACAGGAGTGACTGACACTTACATCTGATCCCAATGTAATAGATTATCAAAGCATGAGAATCTTTTTCTGACTCATAACAATTTGTTGTATTACAATGGAGATCTGTGCTGCAACCCTAAATGACAATGTTGGATACAAGGGTGTAAATTATAGGGGGGGTAACCCCCCCCCCAACAATCAAAACCAGCTAATACAACCCCCTGGACCCCCTTAAATGGTTGGAGACCCTTTCCCGCCCCCTCAATGCTCAACCCAAATTTATACCCTTGGTTGGACAGGACTTCTATAGATATGTTTCTGATTCCTGTTTTCATTTACTAGGTTTGTTCATGGATGTCATAGTTTATTTTTTCATGTGCTAGGTTATGCTATTGATGCATTTGAAGCTGCAATTTAAAAAAATGTATTACTTAAAATAATTAAAATTACGTTTTTATTTTTGATGAGTACGAATGTCATATAAAAATGCATGTTCGGTTTCTTTATGTACCGTGGTTGTCTGTTCCAGGCAAATCTAGACCTATTGTAGCGCATTCTTATTGCAGTTGACGTCGCATTTACTAATATCGCAAGTATAAAGTTACAGTACCCCGGTGAAATCAATACGTCGTGTCTTTCCATGTATTTTAGTTTTGAAAAATAAATATTAATGTAAAAAGTGAGCTAAGACATATTGCGAATTTATTTTCCAAATAAATTTCAAATATTAAAATGAGACATTGGGGATCATTTGAAATAAATTCATTAAGTCGGGGTCACCAATATTAGCAAACGATGCGGGTCCGAAGTGACACCATGCGCATGCGTCATCCCATCCAGGCAAGGGGTGACATCAACACCAATAATTAAAGCGGCTCATCAATGGTCAGTGGGACCTATAAAGGGAACTTATGGAGTTATAATCCCAAGAGAGCCCAGCACACCCAGAAACCGGTTCGCAGTCTCCCGCAGCCTAACTACATCCCGACTTGAACCTGACTATTTTATAACAGTGGTGAGTACAACCTTCATTGCAATTTATATAGCATTTGCCCTTGTTACATTTTGTGTTTTAGGTATAATGGCATCAGTTTTCTTAATATTAATATGTATTTTTTTCCTCCAATACTAGATAATCAGAATGACTTCTATCAAGACACTTATTTACTTTCTTTGTGTTTTATACTGCACTGTCCAATCAGAAGGAGGACCCCTCAGGTAGTTGTTTTTCTTTTCAAAAAGGTAGATTTTGTATAACTGATCTTGGTGAATCGTAGATTTAATACTAGGAGACAGATGCGGCAATAACTCCTAATCTCAAGTGTATTTTGTATGATGTAGGTCTACGTTTGCGTTTTCGTAAAAACTATATTATAATAAAAAATAATTTCTGTAGTTTAATTATAGGGACTAATCATTTTTAAATTTGCGCACTTTTCTTGTTTGCCTTTAACAGAAGGAGGTCAGTCAGCGAGGTACAATTAATGCACAACCTTGGGGAGCACAGACACTTGCAGGAGAGACAGGACTGGATTCAGACGAAGCTGAGGGAGATCCACACCGCCACGCTGAAAGGCGGTGACGGCTGGCAAAAAAGGCGCACCAGGACACTTCTTCCCGAAGACACCTCTGGACTTGAGGACTTCACTACAAATGAAATGCAATATCTGCTGCACGTTACCGAAACCCCCATAAGCTCGCAGTAAAATGTAACGTTTTACGGACGATCAGATTTAAAAACTTTCTAACATCTGGAATTCTGATTTATATCTGTATTCCTTTTGTATTTTTGCAACATGTAGCTAGGAAACATTGCGTATCATGTTTCTGGTATAGCAGTAAAGCACTTTATTTTGATTTCTAAATTATTTATAAAAGAAAGGGACTACCATAATAAAAATGTGACCAAATTCATTTTACATTTATTTATGTAGCAGACGTTTTTGCCCAACGCGATGTAAAACTGAGGAAAGCTTTAAAATACTTTAAAAAAAAAAAAAAAAACCTTCTTTGATTATATTTATTTGTGTATTGAATTTGTTTTCTTCATAAATTTTATTTTATATTTTTAAGTATAATGTACGGAATATAATTTGTACTTGTATTATAGATCACAGGAAAACTGAAAAAAACTGCTTCCTACTTGCACTTTATGGTAATGTAACAAGAAATATTTCCAGTGGAACTGTATATATAATTCAAATAAATGTGTAATAAGTCAGCACCGATTGATATGTTTTTTTATTTCTACGCTATACCTTCACAATGATCTTGAGTTCGGTTTTATATGCAGCTTATATGATACTGTTTAAGCATTGGGGTAGTTATGTATGAGCAATACACGTAAAATACACGAGTTACAGCGAAAGGGAGCCACTATGAAGACTTTTTATATTTATTGGTTGTCAGATTAAAGTAAATCTGCTTTATGATTACATGCAAAAGTGTTATGAAGTTCGGCACGATGCCAGTTTCTGTATTGGTCGGAGAATAACGAAGTTTGTCGAAGAAGGATTAACGAATTCTGCTGCCGGCTTGCGTTGAACTCGGTGTTGTCGCCATAGTAACGGTACTCTCGCGAGACCCTCTCACATTGCGACAGCTGGGCCCAGTGTAGTGTGGCTATACTGCGGGTATAATTTCGTTTGCTAGGGCAAAAACATCCATTCATAATCAAGGTGATGTTTATAGTTACTAGTTGGGCGACTAGTTGAGTGTAGCTCTGCGTTTCGCTTTCGACGCCGATGTTGTCGACCTCGAAAGGTAGCCAATACGTTTATATGTGGTTTACAAAGTAGCTGCTAAGCTAGCTGCCGATGCGCGCGGTCATATAGCCAACTTAGTGAACAGACTAGTCTTTGGGTATGTCAGCTGGTGAATAAACTGTGGTTTATATATGTCCGCGTATGGTGGTATAAACAGTATAGGTGTTTAGCCCGTTGGCTTGTCGCGGCCCTAGGATATTATGCAGTTCGTATGGTTCTGGCCGGAGCGCGGTACCTTAAAGCGGCTCGTGCTGGTTTACCGACCGACACGGGGGGGCTGATATGGTGGTGATGATGATGATGATGATGATGATGATGATGCTTTTGAGGTGATAGAAAACAGCCACGTCAAGTCATGGCACATTCATAACAAGTTTCACAACGCATCGGATCTTTACCTTATGCGTATTTGACATGAGCCGCATGCCCTCCTGGTGCTTTAAGGCTGTTGATACGACCCGTCATGTAATAAATGCTATAACAGCAAGTTATGAAGGCGAGCGGCGGGAAAGGGAATGAAAGTGGGGATGGGAAACTAGAAATGACGTGCGGAAGGGAGATGCACACACACTGGCGTCTTACTGGAGCAATAACAGCAGAGACCTCGGCTTTGCTGTGCAGTAACTGCATTCGTTGAGAAAACTTAAAGCAGCAGATCTTAGTGTCAGAACAAAATACCGTGTGTTCAGAAGCTGTGTGGCTCCGACCAGCAAAACAAATGGGGGGGGAATCAGCTTGGTTTGCTTTCTGTCCAGGGCTGGGTAACCTGGACTGGTAGCTTCCACGCCCGTGGGATGGCAGCCCGGCCACAGCTGTATGACAGCAACTCCAGTGACACGGAGAATTGGGAAGGGAAAAGCAGCAGCAGGCCCCGCAAACTCTGCAGACACTCGAGGTGAGCGAACGGAATCCTGGAGGGGCGTTACCGATGAGATGTTATTGCTGAGAGGTGACTGCTGGGTGTGAACGGAGACAGGGGAAGGTACTTCTTACTCGGTACCTGGGCTTGAGAAGGCAATGGACTGCACCCTTCCTGGGCCAGGAACCAGGGGCTTCCTTGGCACAGATGCAGGACACTATAAGCTATTAATGTTTGCGTGAACCCCGCATCTCGTGTCTAGGGCACGTGTTGTCTGGTGTTTGGTGGTTTTAAGAGGAGGTATACTTTGCTTTAGCGTTTTAAATAAGTCCGACAGCATCATTGGTCCCGATTTTACATCAAGTGCTGTTCTCTAACCAGCTCGCTACTTGTCTAGCTTGGCTTATTAAAGTGTCGGTTTGTATTCCGTAGGCGGTTGTTTGCGTGTGTTATCGCTCGCTGATGGCAAGTTGATGTGACTTTTTCAAAGCACTTTTTTCTTGAGTAGTTTTCTTTATTCACGAAGCTGCATGTTATATCAAGTTATACCGAGGATTATCAACTGTAAATTGGTATAGATGTAAGAAGGCTTTGTTCTTTATTAGTTCATGCATTGTAAGGTTCGCCAAAATCAAACGAGCCTTTTAAATGATTGCTGTTATAGTATTATAATGTCGCGTGGCCTGGTCTTTGGAGGCTGCACCTACGGCTGAACGAGCTCGTCAGCAGGGCTGCGCCCATTCCGACGGGTCCCGCCCCCCCCGGTCTGACACCTTCGGCTCCACCTGCGTCTCCTCCTCCCCCGACGAAACGCGCGGTTGATCCGCCGTACGGACAGGGACGCTTAACGGAGCCAGTGGAAATATGCCGAAGTTTGTAAGCGATGCTCGACCATGCTGAAGCGGCCGGCCGGCCGGGCTGCTTTGTGCGGGGGGACGCGAGCCTTTTGCGCGGCCATCCCGCAGATCATCCCCTGCTGCTTTGTCCTGCCTTTATCGGCCGATTCAGACGGGTAGGTCTTCACCACTTCCTTTGTTCCAGTTTAACGGGCTTCTCCGAGCCGTTAAATTCACGATGGAAAGACAGCACGGGGTTTACATGCATAGTGTTTTTTTCCCTCTAGTTATCTCTAATGCGAAAGTTTTGGCGGTAGTTATTAATTTAAACGTGATATTGTCTCCGATTCCGTTAGGATCTTTTATTTTGGCTGTAATGAAATGATGGTCTTATGCAGGCGGCGATAATTGCAGGTATTCCCGGTTCTGACTCCGTGTCTCAGAACAATGCGGTGTATTATTGATGAGAGCTGTCCTTGCGGGCAGCTGGAAGCCCTGCATCCTTACCCGTCCTCGCTAGTTTAGCAGCTAATTACAGAAGGGAGCAGCGGAGCACTGCGCCTTCGAAGTGAACATGTGCGCAGCCTGTCATTACACTCGATTCCCGGGACACACGATTGCTGCTCAGCCATTGTTTGACTCATTCAGTAATTTCAAGGGAGTCTTAAAGGCATAGCCTGTTGATTTTTATGAATGGATCAGCCGGCCTTTGATTAAGAGAAAAGCAAATCAAAAAACAGAAGCAGTTTTTGTTTGATTCGCATTGAGGGGTAACATCATTTTGAAGGCCAGAACTGGAAGAGCTTTGCAGCCTCTTGCTGTCCTTTGTGTGTCCAGATGCTGCCTATATAGACCGGTGACATGTTCTCCACCCCCACCCCAGATAGTCCCGCCCACCCAGGGCTGTCGCTTCCTATTATGTCCAAACGCAGCGGCTCTTCAGACGCCGCTGATTGGAGGTGACAGGCCAGCAGGGCTGTCGCCGCCTCCCGCCTGCGTTTGTCGTGCAGGGGTGTCAGCCCTTGGCAAAGCGTGTCATGGATGTCTGAACAGGAAGGTCTAAAAAAGCTTCCCCAGCCGTTCATTTTGGCCTCCCACTTCACAGACGGCGAGTCTCCTGTATCTGGTGTTTTTCTGGGTGCACCGTAGGCTGGATTCCCACCTCGTTCGGCATAACCCGACGTCTCCCCGTGGCTGACACAACACAGTTAGGGGCGTCCTCTGGTTGTTTGCTGGATGTCGGGACCTCAGGTTACTTTGCCCTGGATTCTCCTCTGTTACAAAGCCACCCTGCAGTGGCTAATTGGTTAAAGCTATTGATTATTACGGATGTGACTCAACCATTGTGGTTTTTGTATCTTTTTTCCCCCTCAGGATGGAATTGATAGTTTCTTAGTGAGCTGGTGAAAAATGCAAAGTCACTTTGACCTCTTTGGAAGCAGAATGAAGCTGGGCTTTCACTTTAATTAAGAAACATGAAGTGAATTGCACTGATTGCTCTGCAGTTTTTTGGCTGCTACGTTTAACAATGTCGTTTAATATCCCAACGGGCTCTTTCGTGAAGTTAAAATAAATAAATTAAAAAAAACTTTTACACTCTGTCTTGTTTTCTTTTACTATTGCTTACTTATACTATTTTATGTGGGGAAATTATTTTCTTTGGGTAATTTCACTACTAGCTGATATACGGTGTGAGGGGCTTCTAGAGGATTGGTTCAGCATGGCGCAAGGCAGATGATGTATGAGCCCCATCGGGGTGGGGATGGTAATTGCAGGACAACGGGTCCCAGCTGTCATCCTGGGTTGGGGCAGTCTGTTGCCCTCTCCTGGTCACATACGGGCAATGTTTCAGCTGTCAGAGGGACACCCTTGAATTCTTCCATCCACCAGGTGTGTGCTCTGCCAGTTTCATTTGTTAAAAAATGTTGATTTGTGGACGTCCAGCCGTCCAGCCGTGTCAGCCCTCTATTTAGTGATGGTACCAAGCTGCTTTGATACCTTTTGCACAGCACTTCTGCTTAAGTGCCGAGAACTGGGGCTCGATTCTGCCTCGATCAATAGCCATATGACAGTGTTAGTGCAGTAGGTTCTATGTATTTACAGGTTGATTTGGCTTTCCTTCTGACCATGAATAATTGACGAATTGGATGCTTAGGGATTCCTGCATTTCTTTCAGAGAGATGGGTCTCCTGAGGTCAGTTATTGAACACAAATGCATTCAAGGCTTGTGTGGTGATTGATGGCTGTGTGGTAATTTGGGTGCCTCCGTTTCTATCTTTAGGCTCTGAAGAGTAGCCCCTAGGTCGGGCTCTCCCCTCTGCCTCCTTGTCGGTGGCAGTCAGTAAGGTACACTGTTGGCTGTGGGGTCCAATCCACTGCTCCCTGCTACAGGCTGTCTGCTGATGTCATCTGGCAATTGTGTGTTTGTGTGTGTGTGTGTGTGTGTGTGATACTGCTGTGTTGTTTTGATCACGCGAGCATGGCCTCCCCCCTCCAGCACCCAGTTGCGAGCCCCTCGGGCAGCGTCGGACCCAGTCAAGATGAGCCTTCATGGTGCCAGCGGGGGCTACGACCGAGAGCGTGCCCGCGACCACCACCGGCGGCGCTCCAGCGACCGATCCCGCGATTCTTCCCACGAGAGGGTGGAGGCCCAGCTGACACCCTGCATCCGGAACGTCTCCTCGCCCACCCGCCAGCAAGGTATCGGTGCGTAGGTGCCATTTCGCCTTTCTGGCGCCCCCTTGTGGTAGCTGTATGATACAGCATCTTTATGGCAGTCTGTTCTAGGGCTGCTGCTTTCAGTGAGCCTGTTAAGGGCCCTGTCAGCGAGGGCAGGATAGTGTGATGTGCTGGTTCTGATGCTGCTGTCCCAGCACTTTGAAGGTCTGTCCTTCCTCCCCAACCCACATATACTCTGATAATACAGGTGCTTCTGTCCTTGGTGCAGATGAAAGCACACATATGCTCATGCATCTGCCTTCCCCAAAAAATCAATAGGTTCATTTTAAGGCATCTTAACTTTTAAAGGGCCGCTGGTCCATTTAACATGATGGGAAGACTGCAGTCTTGGAAAAGAATAGCTCATAAAATAGTAACTTCCTCTAAAGTCACCAATTGCTTCCTTATGGAGAGTTTAATCATTTTATCACTTATAGCTGGCTTTGTTTTTGTCCAAATGCTGCAAGATGAAGTGATACCTGAACAGATCCTGTTGTTTCATTAGTGGTTATTTATGTATTTATATTTAGTCATTGTTTATTACTGGCATTGTGTATGTGTTAGTCAGAATGTTTGTTCTGTGTTGCGTGTCTGTTTTATGAATATTTTCTCCTGTTATTAAAAATAATCCTGAAATTAAATTTACATTGTGAACATAGGTGTGGAATGGAGGGGAGTGGGGGGAGTGATATACCTCAGTGATGTTTCAGAGGGTCATAGCTGACTAATCTGTGCCCCCTCCCCCCCATGGCAGACCGTGAGAGGGACCCCAGCTCCCACAGGGGCTGTCCGGGGGGTGGCCTGTCTGGTAGCAGTGGGATCAGCAAAGGCCCTGGGGTAGGACCAGGCGACCTGGTCTATGTGTATGAGAGCACCAAGGAGGGCACCCGCAGCACTCGGGCCAGTGAGAGGGTGACCCTCATCGTGGACAGCACGAGATTTGTCGTCGACCCCTCCATCTTCACCGCACAGCCCAACACCATGCTGGGGAGGTAAGGAACGAAGGTGGGGTTTACCTGTGCTTACCTGTTACCATGTAGACACCCTAAAGGCAGGAGATTTATAGCGACTGCTTGTTTGTTCCAGGATGTTCGGGTCCGGAAGGGAGCACAATTTCACACGGCCCAACGAGAAAGGGGAGTTTGAGGTGGCCGAAGGAATCAGCTCCGCTGTGTTCAGAGCCATTTTGGTGAGGACTCCGTCCTGCTGGCTCTCCGCGGTGCTCACTCAGCTCCTGGGCAGAGGTCCAGCTCGATGCTTACAGGCCCCTCAAGCTGACTTCGCCTAGCCAAGGTGTTTGATTCGGGTCCAGGTCGTCAGCTGCTCGTTTTCGAGACAAACCTGCTCATGTTAGAGACGTCCGTCAGCATTTCAGGAGAAAGAGTGCGATGCTGATGTTAATCATCGAAATCCTGCTGAGTCGATGTGCTGCCTAATCACGGCGCTCCCTGTGACTGGTGGGGGTGTCCGGGAGTTCAGTTTTTATGGTGTGTGATGTGTTAAGCTGGTACGTTCTCTACAGAAATCTTTATGAGGTGATGGTGCTCAGCTCAGCTTCTGTGGGCAGCATATTCTGAGCTGCATGTTTCACATTTTTACTGTAAGTCTCCTCTCAGTCACGGCTGTGATTTGTTTGTGGGGGGGTGGGAAGGTCCTGCTGGCATTTCCATCAGGCTCCCAGATGCATAGCGTTCATTTTTACTGGTCCATACAAGCATGCGCTGGGTCAGCTGGCTTGAAAGAGCCACTCGGCGCACCTGTAAGCTCCAAAGAGCCCTATAAAGATTATGGTTCTATTTTGAGGTGACTCACTCTCAGTGTGCCGATTAATAATGCCTGACAGCGAGCTGCATTGCATCAGGGTTTGGCTTCCCGACAGCGACCGTCTGCCCGCACAGCGCATTGCGTCAGCCGGGGGTAAACAAGCTACGGGTCGCATGATTGCCGCTTTGTGTCGCTGGGATTTAGTGCCGCGCAGTGACCCGCACGTCTTTGGGTAATTTCACTACTAGGACAGGTAGCTGCCATCGGCATTGATGCCGTCTCCTGCCTGCATCTTGCCAGCTGACTCTCGTTCTGCTGCTCTCTGGACTCTTTCGTTGCCGTGACGATCGTGTCCGTGTGACAGTGTGGGAAAGTGGGTCACGTGAGCGTCAGGGACGTGTTATTTTCTGGGCGCTGACGACTCACGGCGGCCTCGTACATTGGCATCGGCACCATCGTAGCGCCAGGAAAACAAAGACCGTCGAACAAGAATCCGAGCTCACCACGGCAACAGCCCGAGAGTGGTATAAAACAAAAGGGAGCCTTTAAATTCCTATCCTTCTCTTTCCTATTTGAACACCGTCTCTGTTTGGCTGGCTAAAAACAGCTCGGCACTCCTGAGGGGGAGGGGGTTGGCTCGCTCACCGCGCTGCCATTTGCCGCTTGCGGGAAGGCTCGCTCGCCGTGCGGTCGCACTAATGGCCGCCCGTCTGTCTTTTGCGTGCCTCCTGAATGGCAGGATTACTACAAATCTGGGATCATCCGCTGCCCCGATGGCATCTCCATCCCGGAGCTGAGGGAGGCCTGCGATTACCTCTGCATCTCCTTCGACTGCAGCACTATCAAGTGCAGAGACCTGAGTACGTAAGGCGCCGCCCCTCTGGCTTTCTCCCGGCACTCGGCCTTCTCGTGTTTACACTGCGACGCGGAGCTGCTCTGTTAGTATGAGCTGCCGGTGGTGGGTTTGGTAGCCACCGGGCACATGAGACCCCCCCCGGTAAGATGCTTCCCCCACTGCCGCCTCCCACAGGCGCCCTGATGCATGAGCTGTCGAACGACGGCGCGCGACGGCAGTTCGAGAGCTACCTTGAGGAGATGGTGCTCCCCCTGATGGTGGCCAGCGCACAGAGCGGCGAGCGCGAGTGCCACATCGTGGTGCTGACGGATGACGACGTGGTCGACTGGGACGAGGAATACCCGCCGCAGATGGGAGAGGAGTACTCTCAGAGTGAGCGCCGCCCCATGACACCCACCCCACTGAATCCACTGTTTCTCAGTACATCAGGATTGCTCCATTGATACTTGGACTGAGGGGGCTTGTTGTTTTATTAACTTGTTTGAACAGAAGGGTGCACAATAACGGTCAGGAAATTTTGTATCAGCGTGGTTTATATCTGACATCTTGAAGTGTCTGTGTGTGTCTAGGTGTACTCTTTGAGGATTAAAGCCACATTGCTGTCTCCTCTGCCTGCAGTCATATACAGTACAAAACTATACCGTTTCTTCAAGTACATCGAAAACCGAGATGTAGCTAAATCCGTTCTGAAGGAAAGAGGGCTGAAGAAGATACGGCTGGGTATCGAAGGTAAGGAATGACGCTAACCCTCACTGAAGCCCCTCCCCCCGAAGCTAGCCCTATGCCTCGCTGAAGCCCCTCCCCTTCAAATTCACCTTGCTTCTTTGATTTCTCAGGAGAACCTGATGGTGACTTGTTACAGTCACAGCATGTGGATAGCTATGAGTTTACATTAAGCGCCACAAATCTGTAGTGAAATTGATGTTGGTGATGTTACTAGATCCCATGAATGTGTGTAGCAGCCATACACTGCAGGCAGTGAGATGCCAGTGAAGCAGTGCTGACTAGGGAGGTTCTAAGCGTTGAACGAGCCAACAAAATCCCTCGTCTTTCACTACAGAAAATGGCTGATTGGCCGATGCAGTCTTCTGTATTATATTACTAGTTCTTTCTTTAGCTCTGCTGCTGCTAACTTTGAATATTGAGTAAATCCTAAATATCACTTAGTAATGTTAACTAAGATTGACACGTCAGACTTTTTTTTTTTTTTTTTTAACGAGCATCAGTCAATACCGATATGTTAAACAATATAACGCGCCATTGCTGAGTTTAACCCATTGAGGCGTGCGTTTCCCAAAAGCTCTCATTAGCAACTTACAGTCGGAACCATGCAAGCAGATGAAGTGGCCAATAGGCTGAGGGCTCCTCCTCCCAGAGCTGCTATTGGCTCGTTTCAGCCGATGACGGTATGTGCCCCATGGCTTGCAGGCTACCCCACCTACAAGGAGAAGGTGAAGAAGCGTCCCGGCGGCCGGCCGGAGGTCATCTACAACTACGTGCAGCGGCCGTTCATCCGCATGTCCTGGGAGAAGGAGGAGGGCAAGAGCCGCCACGTGGACTTCCAGTGTGTGAAGAGCAAGTCCATCACCAACCTGGCGGCGGCCGCCGCCGATATCCCCCAGGACCAGCTGGTGGCGCTGCACCCCGGGCCCCAGGTGGATGAGCTGGACGTGTTGCCCGACCATCCCGTGCCCGGAAGCTTCTATGCTAACGGCGGCGACGGGGAGGGTGATGGGCCCGCGCCTCCTCTCTGAGGAGGACATGGATGGCTGGTGCCAGGAAACAGGGAGGAGGTGCCTGAATCTGATGCCATTGCCCACCCCTGTAGGCCTGGGCCTTCCAGACCAGCTGTACTCTACACTCAAGGGGCGGGGGCCTTTTTAAAATTAATTTATAATTATTACTTTTTTTTTTTTTTTTTTTTTAACTTGACCAAAGGAGTTTTTATTTTGTACCAGAGCTTCTGAATAAAATAGAGTGCGCTCTCCCAATCTCCATGTGAAATCGGGCTTTCACCACCTCAGGAAGAGGGCTTTCCGCCCAGCCTCGCCATGCGGCCCCTCACCGCCGCGACCTCTGACCCCTCACACTGAGAGCCAATCACGCAGCGGCGCTGTCGGGCATCTGCAGCCCGGCCTGCCCTCTAGGGTACATTCAGCAGCATGTCACATTCCTGTAACCAGGAATCCTTTTGTTAACAACAGAAATTTATGTTTTAATAAAGTCTTTGCGATCACTTTGAAAACAAATCTTGTCTGATGCCCGTCTCACTGTTTTTATTCCCATTTATGGGGGAGCGGTTTCTAAACCGGTCTGAGCTGCGCTCTTGTTGAATGCAGACATTTGTGTAGAAGTAGTTTTGTAGACGGGGGCAGCAGGAGCTTGGCCGCTGGAAAATGGGCCGCCAGTCGTCACAGAGTCACAGCGCTTAAGGTGACTCGTGACGGCACAGACCCAGGGGGAGGGACTTCCTGCTGCCTGTCTCCTAGCAACAACATGTAGGTCAGTTCGTCTTTTGTTCCTTCTGTGATCTGGGATGTGGAGACAGTCTGAGCTGCAGGAATTATTTATTAAAACAAAAAAAAAATCTGACAATGTCAACAGACATGGTAAAGAAGGACACAGCTGGCAAAAGACATTGAGGTCCCTGTGAAGGTTTATGGTTGTCCCGCTGAATTGCTGGCAGTGATGTTTTCATATGCAGGGTATATCATACAGGGAACTGTAGTATTGAAAATATGTGGCAATTTGATGATATCAGGATAAAATAAAGGTTAGAGAATACAGAAAGCTGTTTATTGTCTCATTTTTCAGGAGTAAAAGGAATTTCTACAACGATTAGATATTAAATTCTGCTCACAGGAAGGCTGAGCCGTAGTGTCATTGAAATGAACGTGAGTAGTTGGTCTCCTTCAGTGTCTTTCAGTCCAGGATCGTGTGTAACTTCACTCCAATGGTACAAGGTTAGGCGCTTTTAATATATTTCACCGCTACGGCAGCGATTTCAGCACGAGTTTGTCAGAGATTCTGGGTAGGTCAGGGTCCAAAGACGAAGTGAGCTGCAGACGGCTGACCACGTGTTGACCGAGTCGTCCCCAGTCCAGGACGCTGAGCTGCTTCTCACGAAGGTCTGACGTCTGAGACGTTGCATTTATTTTTTTTTACCACTTGGTGGCAGCAGTGCACAACATTTGCATTAAATAGCTGAAAAGTGACTATCCGTGTCACTTTTGAGAAGGACATCAGCAGCAAACACCATTTAAAGCTGTAATATAGAGCGGAGTCTATAAACCTCACTGCTGCAATCGTGACATCTGTCTGTTTAAGGTTAAAGCTTCATAATGGGCTGTTATGACCTTTTGTACCCAAAGCAATATGTGTGTGTTTGTCTTGGTAAAATGCACCATCTCCCGCGCCCATTTTTAAGTTAAAAAAAGTCCTTTACTTTCTGTTATTTAATTTTAAAAATATTTCACTGCAGATACAATACACTTTTACCATATAGTTAGAGTAAAGAATTCTTACATGATAGAATAAACATTTATGATACAGTTCTCGTAGGAAATATCCGACATGGAAACCTTCCGTAGTGTAAAAAGGTGGGCGAGTTGGCATTCTGAGAGAGCTGTGTACGATGGCAGTGCCCGGCTGCATGTGTGCTGACGAGGCCCATGGCCCGGATCTCGCCAGCCGTCGCTGGTCTTCTCGCTCTCGCTCCTCGTCAGCATGGGTGGGACCCAGTTCAGGTGGCCCTCAGTTTTGGTAAGACCTTACAGGGGCCAGGGCAGGTCAGTGAAGTCCACGGGCCCCCCCAGTCCCGCGTCGGCCTCCAGCAGGCTCATGATCACCGCCATGGCCGCCTCGTCGTTGCTGGGGCTGCTGGAGCCTTGCTCGTCCATGATGTCGATGCCCAGGTGGGAGTTGTCGCCTGGGGGGTGGGAAGACAGACATACTTCATATCTAACACTCATCACTGTATACCCCAAGAAAGAGCAGGTTTTTTCTCTCCGGGCCCCACTCAAAAAGTAACTTTGTCCACCCCAGATGTCTCAAAATCTAAATAAATACTTAATGAACAGAGTGAGAAGATCGTAGCTAGCTAGTTAACAAAACATGCTGCTTCAATATCTCCTAAATAAGGGACATCTTTATGTAATATTTAGTGTAGTGACTGTTTGTGGTCAACAGGGGGCGCCATGCAAATGCCTGGTTTGAGTGGTGGTAAAAGCTGCCCGAGACCCCATGACACACAGCACAGGACGGCGGCGACTGCACGTACTCATGATGGAGTTGTTAGAGTACGGGTATCCTATGGAGTCCGGCCCCAGCGCCATCCCAGTCGAAGGAATGTCTGGAGTGCCGCCATTCTGAATCTGTCGGACAGGACGGTAGTAGCATCAGACGGAAGGACTGAGGTGTGAAAGATGAGAGGAGTGATCTGCCCCGGGGGGGTGGGGGAAGGTTACCTTTTTTCCTCCTGGGGAGCAGGTATCTGGAGGGGGAGTGCTAGTGATGTTGAGGGGGCTGGAACTGCAGCTGGAGGGCGAGGAGCCGCGGATCCTGCAGGCGACAAATAAGGAGTGAGAGGGAGCCCGGGGGGGGGGCAGTACCAAGGAGGCAGGGGCAAGAGAGAGCCCGGGGGGAGTGAGTGGCAGCCCAGCAAGCGGACCGTCCCGAAGAAGCCAGGGAAAGAGGGGGCCCGAGCGAGAGCAAGACAGAACCCAAGGTCACATTACACCACCACCAGTCTCACCTCTGGATCTCCATCACCTCCTCAGCGATCATGCGGCCGATCTTGCCAGCCCCTGCCCGGGTACCTCCTGGGATGCCAGGGACGGTCTGGAGAGCACGCTTCCCAGGGCCTGCAAACCAAACGGCCGTTTGTCAAGCTGGGGCACCAATGTTAGCAGGCAGTATAGGAGCCCCGTTCCAATAACTTAAATGTGCTGAAAATTAAACTGTAAAAGATGTTGTCTCTCTCCCCCTCTAAGTTCAGTTCTGAGATTTTGTCTGCTGTTTCTATTTCTAAACGCAGAAACGGGGAGGTCATTCCGGAAATGATGTCTGAAGAGGATATTTAAGGGGAGCACTCAGCCGGCTCGTGCTTCACGGTGTCTGAGCACCCAAGTTCACCTCTGTCTGCAAGGATTTTTTGGTTTGTGCTCGAATGACTTTTACCGTCTCCAGCTGTCAGCACGCTGTCCATACTGTGGGGGGAGCTGGCGAGCTGGGGATAGCTGGGGTCTGCGTTGTCGAGCGTACTGCCTCTGTAGGACAGGGCAGTTTCTGATTGGCTGAATCCTATTAAGCATCCCACCAATCACTGTGCAAGCTGTGCCAGTAACACTCAGCAATACGGCCTTTATTTGGCTTTCACTGGGAGACTAACGCGATTAATAATAGGAACTTCATTTAAAGGTCAGTAAAAAGGAATACTAATCAAATACCCATCGGTCCAGTTTCAGATGAGCAAGGGTTGACAATAAGGGAGGCTCAGACTTACGAGACGACCGTGTTCGTGGACACGATGTACTCCACCTCTTTGGTCCAGGGATTCATGAAACTAAACCAGCGGCTCCTCAGCGTGACGAAGGAGCCGTCCTTGATCTTGAATTTGTAGCAGTTCGTGTGGATCTTCTCCCTAGTCTGCAGCACTGCAGATGCAGAAAGGAGGAAGGCATCTTTAGCCTGCCTCCCCCAAGCAGACAGCGCCCTCTGCTGCTGAACTTCAGGATTACAGACCAAACCCAGAAGTCATGGCTGTTATCCAAACAACGTCTATGGAATCAGGAAGTCCATTGTTTATAGGAATCAGTCGGTTTTAGTGAATTGGAGTTTTGATAAACGTGATTCTGGTAGTTCCTGTTTACCAGGACTAGCGGCTATGTTTTCCACTCCCGCGAGGTTAGCTCAGGACACGGCAGGTAAACAAAAGGCTGTCATACCTTGCCTGTGACACTCCGCCAGGTGGCCGATGTCATCCTGGTGGAAGTATTCATAGAAGGACGTGCCCAGAAGCTCCTGAGGAAGGTAGGCCAGAATGGCCGTCGCCCTGGGAGATGGGGACAGGCGAGGGCAACAAAGAACACTTCAGTGAAAACGTGCGGGTAAAAAGATGTGGTTAAAATGGGGGGAAAAAAAAAAAACGTGTGGGTAATTAAACCAATACGAAGAGACTTACTGTGTTGGGTTTATTGACTAGGTAAAGATAACCCATCCAGATTTGTGTAAGTCTGTCCTCAAGACAGGCTACAAATTGTTTTTGCCCCCTACTAGTGATCGTAATAAATATCCCCAACATCTGCTGACGTTTTAGGACGTCGTTCTGATGGTACCTTCACAGCAACTAGTGACAGATTTAATATATATTAACTTACTTCCATCATGGTACAGATTCACTAACTGTTGTTTCTCTAACACTGAGCCGGTTCTATCTGGTAGTTTCCTGTCAGGATGTAACAGGGAGCCGCAGCCGGCGAGAACGCGGTCGGAGATGCCCTCACCTCTGGTCCACAAAGACGAACTTGCCGTCGATGGCGTGCCGCGACACGTACTCGGTGGGTTTGACGCGGATGTCGCCGCTGCTGGCCGGCGGCACGATGTGGGGGTGCAGCCGCCCGATGGCCACCAGGCAGCTGAGATTACAGCCCTCGTTGTCGGGCTCCCCGTCCTCATCCAGCCCCATCTTCGTGGGCGGCCAGCTCTTCAGGTAGCCCGTGCTGTGGATCGTGCAGAAGCTCTTTCTGTCGGCTGTGGGGGGGGATAAAAGACCTTTCAGGGTGTCGTAGTGTGACCACACGTAGCATGGCAACCCGGCCAGTTAATGCATGATGCCTCATTGTACAGCTGCACTAAGTGCTTCACCTGAGCCGCGTTACTAAATGTACACGATTTACAATGAAGTCGCGAGTCACTTTAAATAAAGATTCAGTCCACAACAGAAACTTTCCCTCACCATTTCTCATTTAGTCTTGTTAGAGAGCCTTTTTACTGTGTAAATGTGTGTTTTTTTGCTCCTTCGAGATTAATAGTGTCTACCTGCCTGCTTGTCCATCTGTCTTTGTCTGCCTGCCTGTCTCTGTCTATCTGTTTTTGACTTCCTGCCTGTCTGTCTGCCTTCCTGCATGCATGTATGCCTGTCTGTCTGTCTGTCTGTCTGTCTGCCTTTCTGCATGCATGTATGCCTGTCTGTCTCTCTGCCTGTCTGTCTGCATGCATGTATGCCTGTCTGTCTCTCTGCCTGTCTGTCTGCATGCATGTATGCCTGTCTGTCTGTCTCTCTCTCTGCCTGTCTATTAACCATCAGCTCTCTGTTAAGGGTGTGTCCTGCCTCCCGATTTCCTCGGCAAAATGCTGTCCAGGTAGCAGGGCGACCGCTGGCAGGGGGCACCTTTCTTTTTGGAGCAGGTGGAGGGGAATTCCTTGTCCTCCATCTTAACAGAGGGCCGGTTACACTTCATCCTGCAGAAGAAGGAACGCCGAGCGCCGGAGCAGAGACGGGACGGCCCGGGGGTGATGTCAGTCTTCACCGGCAGGCCGGCTGCCAAAGAGGAGCAGGGGGAGCCATCAGTCAGCCATTTGTAAATACGAGTGCGCCCCCGCTTTGTGTGTGTGCACGTGGGTTTGGGTTTCCCTGTCTCACGCACATGCGACAGTACTGTCAATTACTCTTACGGCTCACTTCCTGTGTAATTTACAGGAGTTACTCAGTTCAGTGGTTGGTTTAGTAATTAAGATGTCTGCTGTTCCCTTCCAGGCACTAGGTTGCTAGTGTCCTGTCACTGTTACCCTGTCCATCACAGTGGCTGTATTCCCACTGCAAGGTTACTCTGCCATCTCGGCTGTGACATGCCCCCCCACTCACTTTTGGCATCGATGAGCCGCTCGCGTGGCGCCGTGTCTGATGAGGACAGCTGCTCCTTCACTTTGGCGATGTCCTTGGGGTGCAGGTAGTCGAACAGACTCTGGCCAATTAAGTCATTCTGGGATAGTAAGAGACACAAAGGGAGAGAGAGAGAGAGAGAGAGGGAGAGAGAGAGATTTTAAATGTTATATGCTTACAGATGTATAAAGACAAATACCAACTGAAGTCATTCCCTGGATTGAGTCTGTGTGTCTGTAGTGGCATCAGTCCAGCTACACCCTCCAGCAAAGAACAGAGAGTCATGTGACTGAGACGTGAAAGGTAAGCGGGGGCCCAGGGACGTACTTGGCTGTAGTTGAGGATTTTGTAAACCGACTCGGACACAAAGAGAATCTTCCCTCGATCGCAGCCAACGACAAACAGGAAGCCATCGGCAGCCTGGGGAGTGGGGTAGAGATTAGGGCGTCACATGTCACATGACCGGCCGGGATGCAGAAAGGGAACAGAACACACGCTCCGAGGTGGCAGCCACGGGACACACCCACCCTCAGTATCAAATGCTTCAGCTCATCATCTGACAGGAACGCCGGCTTGTAGTTCGCCTCAGTGTACGAGTTGGCAGCACCTGGGGGCCCAAAAAGCCGTCAAAGGTCATGAACGGCTTCAGACGTTTTAACTGGCCCCGTAGACTCGCACGTCATTCGGGAAGATGCCAGTTAGCACGTTAACCATTTCTTGATCAGTTATCAGTGTAAACAGAAGGATTAGGGGGCGGTTTGTAGTTTGGCAGGTTTGGACCTTGGATCAGGATCACTGGTTCGAATCCTAAGCACAGTGCTTTAACCGAAAGGCCCTGAGCAAGGCCCTTAAACAGGCTGACCTGTTTCGCCCAATAAATAAAAACGTAAATGTAAGATTGCAATGGTTCATGCCTGTAGCCCGCAACAGGCCTTTCGAAACACCTGTCGCTGTTTGTGCGTCCCTCCCCCTTAGGGTCCCCTTCCCCCCCGCGGTCCTGGGGCGGGCCGTCACCTCGCAGCGTCTTCATGTGCTGCACAGCCATCCGCAGCACCGTCAGCTTGTCCAGCTTGCGTGACATGGCGTTGCAGGTCGGCACCAGCGAGGCCAGCTCATCGATGAAGCTGTTCATCTTGTCCCGGCGCCGCTTCTCGATCTGGCTGTGGGCCTCCCTGAGGACCGTGGGGGTGGTTGGGGAGGAGAGATTTTTCGGACGTGAGCGGACCCCACACGCAGCTCGGGGGTTTCCCCGAGAGACAGCTGAACTCTGACCCCTCCCTGTGGGTGGGGGATTCTGCCCATACTGTATCATTATGACTGCATTCGATGGAAATTAAAAATGGCAGAAGGATGAGGCACAGATCTGAATACCTGGCATTTTTAATCCTGCCTTGTTGATCGCCACAGTCCCTGAAGAGAGGGTGGAATGGAGAGAGGGGGGGGGAGGGAGGGAGGGAGAGAGGATGGTTTCTGAGCATTAACAAGCCGCCTGCTATACCTCCAGCTGTGGCTGATAGGGCAGAGACATCCGGTCAGCCACCGCCGGCCCTCAGAGCCGCCCCCCCCCGGAACACCAATGCCAGAAGACCCAAAAAAGACGTACCTTCCCAGCTGCTTGTCCTTGTCCACATCCAGGCCATCCCTGCGGAGAGACACACACGAGTGAGCCAGTCGTCAGGGCTTTCATCACTCATGTGACCCGGGCTGAACCAATCAGTGCGTAATACCAAAGCATCTACTCATTCATTCATTGTTAGTCGTAAAATAGCAATGGCAACAGGGCGGGGGGGGGAGGAGAAGATATTTGCTTCATTCAATTCTGCCAGTCATGTGACCTCTGAAAAAGCATGTGTGTCATAACACTCGACCAAATTAATTCCAGTCATAATGCAGCAATTTCCCTAAAAAAGAACACAAACTTGACTTCAGCAGCCACTGAGAGAGTGCAGGCCACAGAGATCTGAGGTGTATCATACTTCAGGATTCGCACTGCATGCGTTACATTACGGCTGGCGTATTTAATAATGCATGGGATAATTTGCGTTGTGAGTGTGTATATCTGTGCATCAGAAAGCTTTTATTTAAAGAAGAAAAAAAAAATCTTTGTATGACTCTAAATTTAGGCTAAATGTGAAGTCTTGGAGCGGTTACCATAACAACGGCGAGGCAGTTGGGTGCACTGCGGGGCGGGTGTTGGGCAACGACTGCCTCCTCACTGTCGCTATCTGGGGACTTAACAAATCACCCATACTTCAAAGGAAGCCATCGATCGGAAAGCGCGGATGTTTGTTCGCCGTGGCTTCAGTAGTGAATGACGGAGCGGATCTGGGCCAATCAGACCCACGCCAGAGTACTAACTAAACTGGAAAACTGGGCCTTTTGTGATGAAAATAACCAAGTTATTTTAGGTGTTAAACTGAGAGCGAGCTGTAGGATGGGAAGAATGGCCTCAGTGGACAGTGAGGAAATATTTCCAGGATTCGTGAACACCTCAAGCACCCGTGTGCCAAAACACCTCTTCTCCTCCTTCGCCGGACCCACACAAAGAAAGCTCGGAGGCTCATAAGATGTCCCAGGGGACAGGGCTTACTGGTAGTCCGTGCAGCTGCCCTTCCTCTTGCGAGTGTAATCCATGCCCGTAGTGCCGATAGAGCTGCTGATCAGGTCCGTGGGGCCCGACGACATGAACTCATTCATCGTGGAAGAAATATCCATCCTTTGATCGGCCATCAGTTCATCTGCAAAACTAAGGAAGGTGGGGGGGGGGGCGGTTAGAATGACAGCCCAGCGACGGCAACCTGCACCGATGTCACATGGGGGGGGAGTGACTGCAACCGGAGGTCATGTGACTGCAGTGTCACATCAGGAACGCCCCTGTGGCACACAATGACCACAGTGGTCCACAGTAAAGACCACTCAGAAGACAGAGGTGGGCCTGGAGGTCTGCTTATGTTCTGCAGTCTCTACGGGCTTCTGTCAAATTCTGTGGGTCACGCTGAGGGTGGGGAGAAAGTCTGATTCTCAGTCAATCATGATAGTTCATCGTAGAACAAAAATGCTTCACCCAAAAAATGGAAAGTGACACAGTCACTCACTACTCTACCAGCACATCAACACCTGCAGCTTGATCTTTCTGCAACCATCCAAAACTACTTTGGTCCAATACTCATTTAATTAACCCCTAAGAGTGCGGCTTTGATCACTAAAGCAGGAAGCACGCAAGTCTAAAGATTTCATGCCTTCTGCACCATAGCCAGCAGACCAGCATGACTGGTCCAGGATGTTCTGGGGACGTCACACAGAAAAGGCTTCATCCAAAGCAAACTGGCCCGGTTCCCACACTTTGCCTCTTTCACGCAGGTGCTTGAAGACATTTGCTTTGCAAAGGAAATAAAGGCGATAAACACCCCCCCGTTACACCATCTGAGGACCTTCCCTGAACTCCATACCCTCCCCTGGTGGAGGGCTTCTTCTTCCAGCTCCACTACCATCCCCGAGGGCCCACACATCCCAAAGATGGCCCCCACCTTTCTGCTTGGGGTCCAGGGCAATGAAAATTCCACGTCTACAGCGAGTCACATTCAATATTCATAATACCAAAATGTTAGCACAAGAGGCCTGTGCTTTGTCTTTAAAATACAAACCATGCTAATCGCCTACTTAGAAAGAGAGAGAGAAGGAAAGAGAAAGAGAGATCTTCAAAGAGCAATGCAGATATCAAGACAAGAGTGTTCAACCGGCATATTACAGCCGTAGCAGGTTAGTCAGCATGGACACACTTAGCCTTTCAAATCGACAGTATCTGCGCAAATCGGACTGGGAACATGTCACGGTCTGAGCGAAACTGGGTCATCTGAATGCGCTGCTTCACTGCAAGCCCACATGATCCAGCAGGGCTAAAATTACTCACTTTGACGGAGTTTGTTTTAACAAGCAAAAGGTCGCCCAGCATCTCAACTTAGGGCTACATCCAGCTGACTTCGGGCCATTAAAGCACCCTGAACGAGCGGCATTCAAAGCCCATCTGGGCTGGACTGGGATCCAGGTCCATGCGGTATTCTGAAAGGCATACCTCAGCTGTCTTAAAGCCACGTTTTGGGGATTCAGTGACAGCAGGCAGGAGCGGAGTAACGTATAATCTAACCTACGTCACCCTAGGGCCCACAGATAAGCTAATGGGCCCCTGACCACAGGGCCCCCCACTCCCCAGGCCATTCTGTATGAGGATAGAAGTCAAGCCCTGTGACTTCAGCATCTGCCACCTTTTAAGTTAAAAGCTAAACGGGGGTGATTATGTCATCTGATGCACCTTCAGCATGCTAAAAGCCTGGATATATGCTATGCTTCAAAACAGTATACCTTATCCGGTCAGAATCTCTGCTCATTAACCAGCTACCTGCCGCACATTAGACATCCCAACTGATCCTGACTGCATCATACAGCCGTTCCAGGCCCAGGTAAGGCCAGGTCAAGAACGCCTCTATCTACCCCTAAACCTAACCCTAAACCTAACCCCATCAACATGATCAAGCCCCACATCAGGAGCCCGCTACCCATCCGGCACCTCATGCAACAATCTTATCAGAAGATACTAGAGCACCCCCCCCCCCAGGCCTCAGCTCTCTTAAGACCCCAAAGAAAAGCTAATGTCATCAGAAATATCACCAGGACACACTTGTACCCACGCAATGGACCCACTTCATGTAGCAGACTGTGAACATTCACGACACTTCGGCCTGTTTGTTTTATCCCTGGATAAGGGGTCTCCGGCAACAGCTCTCAGCCTGCCCCATGATACAGCTCTGAAACGAACAAGGAAACCAGCGCCGGGACCAAACCACAGACGGCCTCCCTACCAGACAGCAAGCATACATCGCCGGGTTTGTCCTTTGGCTTTGGCGGTGCATCAGTCAGCCACGGCCCCCGAGAAACAAACCGTACTGCCACGAGCCACCGTCACAGCCGGCCCCCTTGCTTTCGTCCCCCAAAGCATAGGTCTGCTTGCGTATAGTTCAAGGAGATCCGTAAGACTCCTGCATCCAACCCAGTAAAATGCCACCGAGGGTCAGGGTCACGGGGGGGG